ATTAAGCATCTATGATGGAGATTAATGTTCTTTATTGTTGATGGCTCTGTGAACTAAGGGTTTGCTGGCATGGCGACTTGCGGAGTGATCCTGGCGAACCTGAGCGGATGTGATCCGGTCGCCTCTGTGGCCCTGCTGTGTACCACACAGTGCTTCAACGGGCTGACGGTGGCAGGGTTCCGCGCCGTCCATGTGGAGTTCGCGCCCAGGTTCAGCGGCATGACCTTCGCCCTGGCCAACATGGGGGGAACTGTTGCCGGCATCTTCGCTCCGCTGTTGGTCGGGCTGATCACGGATAACGATGTTAGTACACGAACTTTTTTATAACTAGGCATTAACTCACCTTTCATATACACAAAAGGCAGATCTTATACAGTTAACACATCTGGAACACAGAAGGTAATGGTTACTCAAGCAACTGGATAGAGTTTAAAAACTATCAGACGTTTCAAATAGCATCCACTACTTTTCGTCAGTGACGAAATGTCTGACAGTTTTCAAAATCTACCCAGTTGCTTGAGTAGCAATTTCCTTGTGTATCTCATTACCTGAATGTCTAACCTTCATCAACAAATCTGGAACAGATCCCACACAATTATATCCTAATTAAGGTTGATAGTCCACAGTTCTATTGGGATAAGTTTCAGAGTCAATAATATGAAACTGAAACTGAAACTTTATTCATCAAAACAACATTGCAGGCTGAAACAGCCTGAATTGTGTTGCAAGTCACATGTAATTCCATATTAATAATAACAATTGTAACATTTTAGCGTTAAAAAGATTTAGTGTTAAAAGAAATATCCGATAATGACGTATTGTATAAAATATCGATAACACGTTAAAATATAGACAATAATTGAGTGGAACAACTTAAGAATACAAATACAAGGAGGCAATAAAATTTTTTATAAAAGTCTATAGTGTCCTTCAGATTTTAAAAGGTCTATAGTGTCCCTCACTGCTGCAAGATGTTGAGTGATCTGGGGATAAATGATTGTCTATGTCTCTCTGTACGGCTAAGTGGGATCTTGTAGCTGGAAGTCTGACGGCGTAGTTGGTAGGTTGTCCGTCTACCCGGCTCAAGGAACTGCTGGCAAGGGTGAGTGTCATCCGCCATCACCCTCCTGAGTTCACGTACGGATGCCTCACGTCTCCGCTCCTCCAGGGTCGGCAGTTGACCGGAAGGAATTCCAATGATTCTGCAGCAGATTTTCTGTACTTTCTCGAGCTCGTCAGCCAACCCGCGAGGTAACCCTCCCCACACTGGTGAGCCGTATTCCAGCACTGGTCTGACAAATGTCTTGTAAATTTGTAACAGAACGTCTACTGGAAGCCCCGCTCGTTTGGACAGTCGCAAGTAGTGAAGGCGAGGTCGGACCTTGGACAACATGTATTCAACGTGTGCACCCCACGACAGGTCGTTACTGACGATCACCCCTAGAAGTTTGAATGCAGGAACTCTCTCTATAGTCTCATATGAACAGATGTACTTTACTTGTCTTGTAAACTCTTTCAGCCAACCCTCGCAGGCTGGTCCACAATCTTCTACATAGGAGCGGCTATTCAGGGTGTGGGAGGGATTTTTACGGCGGTGTTCATGCGCACTGACGTCCAGCCATGGGCTAGGGGAGGGAGTGGCCAAGACATCGATGAAAAGGTGAGAACCAAGAGCGATACTTTTTTTACAACTGAAGGAAAATGAAATGAAATGAAAACTATTACTAAAATTATCTTGTGATGACGAGACACAAATACAAAATAAAGAGTCGTGATGTTTATTTAATCAATTACCAGGGGTGGTTAGTTAGCCAAAGGGGACAATACTAGATATTCTGAGTACAAACTTTTCCATCCTATCGTAAGGTAATGACACAATATCACAGAAAACCTGTTCTCGCGTGTTTTCACAGGATCTCGTCATCGCCAATGAGTTTGCCGAGATGCCGACGAAGGTTGTGGAGATGCCGAACACGAAATTATGAGTAGTCTAGTCTAGCCTGACTAAAGTGTGCTCCCAGTCCACCCGACTGGCTGGAGATAGACAATTTGCCCCTGGCAGCGAGAAATTGTGTAAAACAGGCTAAACAGTACACGTACCGTGATTTGCCTACTCGCCTACTATAAAGGGTCCTATAAGGCAATCGATTCACAAAGTTGTGTTGGATGAAAAGTTTAACTCGTGATTTTACATACCATGACAGGTAATATTGCCTGATGACTATCACGCATATCATAACAATAGGAACAGTGATTTAGAATATTGTTGCACCTAACAATTATGACATTGCTCAACGGATATAAATGATGTTGTGTCCTTGGATCTAAATTCTAGTAAGCTACAAGACGGACCTGTCATAGATTGTAACAACAAGATCTATTGTTCACCCGAACAAATTTGACAAGAAGACAGTTTGATGTCAGGAAATTGGAATAAACTTCTAATGGTTGTGGCGACGTGACACAAAACGCCTCCTGCTTCAAGGTTATCATTTAAGCGTGACATAAAGCTTGTTTGACAATTGCTGTCATGGCTCCGACCTCCGATCGACCAAGCAAATACAACTCTGCTCGGTTTTACCCTGTATGACGCAAGCTCAAAGGTGGTTTAGATTTAATCTACTTGAAGTGGTCCAAAGGTGAGAGCAGTACTGCCTAGTCAAGTTTCAAGTTATGGATGTCACATGCACAAATGTCTCTTTAAACCATATTCACCTTTTCCTTCTCCCTTATATACGTTTTAAGTATATAAGTATATATGTAACCCATTAGATAGGTACTTCGCGTCTAAGAACGTTAAGGCAACGCGTACGAACGTAGAAGCATACCAGCTACAGTTATGCGTTTTGTATAGCGTTGTCATAAACGCAGAAGTAGACCTGCATTGCTAGTGATTGAGTTCGGCCTACATTTTCTCTGCTTGTCGTCAGTGAAGTGGTCTAAAGGTGAGAGTAATACTGAATAGTCAGTCTGTTTATACAGGTTAAGGTTGTGTGTAGTCTCCAGCGTGTACCGCCTGGCTACTGGCACACACACAAAGGTTACTGTCACATTTTTAGGTCTCCCGTAGCAACTGTCTTTACCCTTGAACAGGCCTAGGTAATCCGTGTCACACGGAGATCAAAGTTCAGCGCAGTTGGAAGATCTGATACCGTAGAGGTAGGTCTAAAGGTTGCAGTTCCTATGTCTAAATTAGTCACTATAGAAGAATCGATCATGAAATATGTGGTACTAATACGTGCAAAGATACAGCACAGTTCAGCACATAATTAACTGAAGTCTTGACAGTCTAACCCTTATATGTTCATTGAACGTAATCATCATCGTGTGTGTGCTGCACCCTTAATTCTGTTGTCGCTGAAGCGTCTATGTTAAACATATATTATATAACATATGGTATGTGCCATAATGTGTATGTCACAGACTTTGGAAAAATGAGTTCGGAGAGCAAGGATGTGACGTCATCGAACGTTGAGGAGACAAAATCAGGCCAGGTCTCGAAAAAGGGAAGCTGCTGTCTGGTATGTGCACTAACACTTTTCTACACGATTATCTATTGAATATTCGCAGTTAATGCCTTGTCTAAATCAATATACTGTCTCTAGTATGGAGGTACAGCTGCAGAGTTGTACATAGTATGTTTATGTTTATTTGAAGGATCTCCATTAGTGACTATATGCATATACTCACTATTCTTCTTGGAGTCATAAAACACATATCATTACAAAACTTATTAACGCAGTAGTATGTACACCTTCTTATTGCGACAAACAAAATACTTACAACCTGTAACTATTACTTACCAGTAACCTATCCTTAACCATATTCAACAATGTAAGGAGGGGAAAATTGGTTGAGAGGTCAGAGGTCAAGGTAATGCATATACCACATACAAGTTATTTATTTACATGAAAGTGATCACTATGCTACCACCAATGCCGCAGGGCGTTTTTGTGTATGTTTGTGTCTTTAAGCCGTCCTTGACGTGAAAGTACAAATAACAGTTGCACATATATACACGTAATGCTCTGCTATGGTTTCATGGCATGTTTATTCGCTTTTTACTTTGTTATATTCACAATTTTTACTTCTCTTGTAGCTGGCCGACAAAATCTCGGCTCGATATATTTTGTCGGGCTTGTTTTTCCTGGGCATCGTTTTCTTAACCCCAACCAGGAACGGATTCAGCGTCGCCATCGTGGTCATGGTGAACAGTTCATCGTCTGCTTCACCTGTCAATCAAACTGCTCCCTACCAACTCTGTCCGAGCAGCGGGGCTGGAAATACTTCCGCACAGGTAGGAAAATTATTCTTACTGGTAATCGTTATATTGGTGCAGGATATTGATTTTTTTCTAGTAATCACAAAACAATGATACCACATCAACAGGTTCTGGTTGCCATGTTATGTACGTTATATTGTTACGTGATTACAGAACGAAGAAGGAGAACTGGAATGGAGTCCAAGTGTGAGAGGAATTCTACTGGGGGCGTACTATTATGGCTACATCATCACTCAGGTGAGCCGTTTGATAGTCTCCACCAGACTCCTTTTGCAGGCTCAATAAATGGTAGAAATCGGCCTAAAAAGGGGATACAATTGGCCAGAGAAGGTGGCTGGCCAGAGAATGCCTGCACGGGCAAATTCTTCTATTTATTCAGCCTACAAAAGGAATCTGTTGGAGACGTTTGTAACCTTTACCAGGATTCCGAAGCGACTGGAAAGAGCAGAAATTGGCAAAATAGACAGACAACATGACAGGGGAGCTCGAGATTGTCCGCTAAGGTGCATATTTGCCGCCTCCGGATCCGGAGCAGACCAACCTAATCGTTTTACACAAATAAATTTGTACTAGTATAAGATTTATATATAGGGAAACGTAAAACAAGTCCTTGTACACATCGGATCAAAATGATGCGTTATAACATTGACCTCCATATTTTATTCTCATTGGTAAATTTGTGGGGACTGAAATTGTTCACTCTCATACCCCTGGTTAAGGAGCAATCTTGAAAGACAGGACTTCGTTACTGAGACAACATACAGACCATCCTTGTAAAACAACATGTATTTCTTATCTTTTGCGTCTGTCAAACTCACAGTACACAAACTCTCAGTTCTGTTTTGCCCCATACAGGTGGTAGGCGGTGTGTTGGAGCAGAAGTTGGGCGGCAAACTCGTGTACGGGACGGGCATGTTGGCCATAGCTGCCCTGGACGCTCTTGGTCCAGTGGCCTCCAGGACCAGCCCTTGGGCGATGTTTGCTGTCAGATTCATCATGGGTCTGGTGTCTGTAAGTTGTCATCTTACACAACTCGGATTTCCTTGCAGAAAGTTATATTAATTAGGACTTTGAATGATTTAAACTTTATCTTTTTGATACATTTTGTCTGACCCTTCCCTTTTCCCTCGTGGCCTCAATGAAAAGTGGATTGCAAGTGGATCTAAGCTTCTCATGATTAAAGAATGGATTTATGCCCCTGTTTTCCAGGGAGTTCTGTTCCCCACCATGTACGGAGTCTGGGGCCGATGGGCTCCCCCTACCGACAGGACAAAACTTCTGGCGTTTTGCTACATAGGTAAAGTTCTACATGTGTAAATCAAGCTTTCTGTATCTGTATCGGTATAGCCGGTATAGCCGCCCTTTGTCGTAACACACTAGCTTCGTAGGCACGCGGCGCGGCGGCAGCTGGCTACATTACACCTAACGACTTGTTACACCTAACCCTTTAACATCTAACTCTAAACGTTGTTTGAAGCGATCTAATCAGAATGCCCCTACTGCTTAACAGCATTTCGAGTTAGAGTCATGTGTCCTTCTGTACATAGAAAGTAAAAAGGTGCATTAGTTTTGTTGGGGAGCCTTGCTGAATCTAGATTGGCTAACATCCTATACATGTATCATGCCTGAACATGTGACATTTTTCTTCACACAAATGCAGGATTGCCCATTGGTTACATAGTCAACTACCCACTGGCGTCCTTCCTAGCTGCTGAGCTGGGCTGGGAGGCCATATTCTATATTCCTGGTAAGGAAATAAAAAAAATTTCATTTTCATCAACATACCAATCCATAAAATCTTTGGATTTATGTTCCTACAGCAGTGTGTCAATCGAATATTGTTCGGTGACACTCTTTATATAATTATTTAAAAGATTTCGTGATGTGTGAGATTTGACGAATATCTCGAAGGTGTCCAATGCTAGGCTGCTCAACACCATACAATAATGTGATAGTCTACATGGTATAGACCCCCAAACAATGATGAGTGCATCTTTTGGTACATGTAGTTAACGTTTTTCGTAAACCCACAAACTCAACTCATAAAGACCACCACCGCTACGAGAAGAGATAATAGATTGAATCACCGCTTTGTTCCCTAACCTTCTGTAGGAGGTTTTGTAGCAGTCTGGCTCGTATTTTGGCTCCTCCTGGCTTACGACTCGCCTGCAAAACATCCACGGATCCTGGAGGAAGAACAGAAGTACATAGAAGACAGTATCGGGGATAAAGTACAACAGGTAGCGAGCAAAGATGCGATCTGTTCCATCATACTATGTTCTTATGTGAGATATTTTGTTGGTATCGTAGACATGATTCTGAGCTTTGAAACATATCATTTGAAGATAACAGGCCCTGCATTTTCTCCGATAGAAACCAAGAGTTCCTTGGCTGAAAGTATTGTCGTCACTTCCGGTCTGGGCTCTCATCGTCGGTCAATTCTCTACCAACTGGGGCAGCTACTTCTTGCTTACCCAACTGCCGAACTACATGAAGAATGTGTTGGGATTCAACATTAGAACGGTACGTGATGGGTGAGCTTTTTAGCTGCCAACTATTGTAATTGTTATATCATGTTTCCTGGACCACTTTTATGTGAAGAAATCGATGTTTCTCAATTCATGATTTTATTGCAAACCGAATGAAGAAGTCGATCTGAAGGAGTGCTGGGCACCAGGAATGGATGGTTCACTCTAGCTCTTGTAATTACAACTCTCCTGTTCTAAAAGACCCAGAACACTTCATTTTTTTCTCCCCCAGAACGGTTTACTGTCTGCTCTCCCGTACGTCCTCGCCATGGTGTCCATGTTGGTGTCAAGCGTTGCGGCTGACCGCTTGATCCAAAACGGGAAGATTCCCAAGGTGTGGATAAGGAGGGGATTCCTTATCACAGGTGATGTAGTTTTCTCTTACCAACCTTACTTTAGACCTTAGATCCTCTCATGGAGATGTGTTTCGCCGGGGAAGAATCGCGAAGGCAAGTACTGTAGAGAGTGGAAAGTGACGGTGGCCCGCTAACGACGAAGATGATGATGATAATGATGAGATCCTCCCGCAACTCCTATCAACAGTTATCAAAATTATGCGCATAATTGTCACAACTGCTGATCACATGCTGCCCACTTTACATATGTTGTAAAAGGTTTTTTCCACACAGGATTTTCCGGCATGGTGATCTGCGGAGTGATCCTGGCGAACCTGAGCGGATGTAACCCTGTCGCTGCCGTTGCCCTGCTGTGTCTTATCCAGGCCTTCAACTCCCTGACGACAGCAGGCATGCGGGCGGTCCATGTTGAGTTCGCGCCCAGGTTCAGCGGGGTGACATTCGCCCTGGCCAACACGGCAGGGACTATGTCGGGCATCTTCGCTCCTCTGTTGGTCGGATTCATAACAGAGAATGATGTGAGTACACAATACAACACAACACAACACAACACAACACAACACAACACAACACGACACAACACATTGCAACACACAATCCAACCCAACACAACTCAACTCAATACAACACAACACAACACAACACAACTCGACGAGACGCTATGCGGCGCGACACGACATGACGCGACTAGATACGACATGACTAGGCTGCTGTGCATCTCAAAATCATCCAACTTTGCATGTGGGTATCTATTGGAGTTTTTTGTTTCTGTTTACATGTGAGGAATGCAATGCCCTGCATGCTTGGAAATGATGGCTTTCCTGTTAACAATAATTTTACTACAGCCGCTGGGACTCTTCAGTCTGGTTTTGATATGTCAGTATGAATTGTTGCACTGCTCTGTTATGGCCCTTACATTATCTTGATTCAATAATGTGAAACATGTTTATTGACCCTTTCAGCCAACTCTGGCTGCCTGGATGAAAATCTTCTACATAGGAGCGGCTATTCAGGGTGTGGGGGGAATTTTCATCGTGGTGTTCATGCGCACTGACGTCCAGCCCTGGGCTCGGGAAGAGGCCGACATAGAGACCAACATCGACCAAAAGGTTCGTAGAAAAAGCGTGGACAGAGAGGTTTTTACAAATAAAGTAATATGAGCGCGATATAGAACGTAGCTATGAAAACATTTGAACTTCTCAGTTACAGTATCGAACTTGACAACACATTCTATACTACTAAAGTATGTTTCCTATGTAACATTATTGTATCGTCGTAATTAAACTCATTTCGAAAGGGGAGCAAATCGACGACTAAATATTTCCTATCATCATATGGGTCTCTGGGCCCGTTGAGAACCAGAGGGGGCAGTTCTATCTATGGTATAATGCATCTGATGAGTGTTTTCATATATATTTTCACAGGGGACAGAACTGACAGAGCTGACCTCATCATTGTTAATGAACACGCCGAGATGTTGACACAGAATGTCGAGATGTTCATCACCAAGTTATAGATAATTTGGTCCCTTCTTTGGACTTTTGACGAGTTTCTTTGTTCTTATTTGCATTGTTACTTCTGTCTATTACACATATTCCAAAAAAGATCAAGAAAAATGCAAACAATCATTTTGAGTGTTATTGCACCTAACAATTAAAGGCATTGTCTTACAAATAAAAAATGATATTGTGGCCGCGGATCTAATTGAGCTATAAGACATAGATTGTTACCTGAATGTCTATTTTGATTACCTGCATCAAATTGGGCAATACTAAAGACAGTTTAACATGTCACCTTTTAGTAACAGTATCTGTATCGGTATAGCCTGTATAATCAAATTTGACAAGAAGGAAATTGGAATAAACTTCTAATGGTTCTGGCGACGTGACAAAAAACGCCTCCTGCTTCAAGGTTATCATTTAAGCGTGACATAAAGCTTGTTTGACAATTGCTGTCATGGCTCCGACCTCCGATCGACCAAACAAATACAACCTGCTCGGTTTTACCCTGTATGACGCAAACTCAAAGGCGGCGAAGTTTTTATCAACTTGAAGTGGTCCAAAGGTGAGAGCAGTACTGCCTAGTCATTCTATACATGCAAGTTTCAAGTTATGGATGTCATATGCACAAATGTCCCCTTTACACCATATTCACCTTCTCCTTCTCCCGGTATATACGTTTTAAGAAAATATAACCCATTAAATAGGTACTTCGCGTCTAAGAACGTTAAGGCAACGTGTACGAACCTAGTAGCATACCAGCTACAGTTATGCGTTTTGTATAGCGTTGTCATAAACGCAGAAGTAGACCTGCATTGCTAGTGATTGAGCCAATAGGGGCTGCACGAGCAACCTCCATGGAGGAGCTCTGCATTCTCGATTGAGTTCGGCCTACATTTTCTCTGATTGTGGTATAAAGTGGTCCAAAGGTGAGAGTAATACTGACTAGTCATTCTGTTTATACAAGTTAAGGTCGTGTGTAGTCCCCAGCGTGTACCGCCTGGCGACTGGCACACACGCAAACGTACTGTCACATTTTTAGGTCTCCCGTAGCAACTTTCTTTACCCTTAGACAGGTAATCCGTGCCACACGGAGATCACAGTTCATGCAGTGCAGTTGGAAGAGCTGATACCGTGGAGGTAGGTGTTTAAACTAAACTCCTAATGAACAGAATACGATGACTTCGATGTTGTCCAAAGCCGTATAGTTCTAATCAGTTGTGGACGAGGCAGTTGCAGTTGCTATGTCTAAGTTAGTCACTATAGAAGAATCGATCATGAAATATGTGTTACTGATACGTGCAAAGAGTCTGTGATCAACTATGCAGCACAGTTCAGCACATAATTAACTGAAGTCTTGACAGCCTAACCCTTATATGTTCATTGAACGTAATCATCATCGTGTGTGTGCTGCACCCTTAATTCTGTTGTCGCTGAAGCGTCTATGTTAAATATATTATATAACATATGTGCTATAATATGTATGTCACAGACTTTGGAAAAATGGGTTCGGAGAGCAAGGATGTGACGTCATCGAACGCTGAGGAGACAAAATCAGGCCAGGTCTCGAAAAAGGGAAGCTGCTGTCTGGTATGTGCAGTTTTTGTGCACTAACACTTTTCTACGTGTTCATCTATCGAATTTTCGCAGTTAACATTTTGTATGATTTACAATACTGTCTCTAGTATGGAGGTACAAAGTGTACGGTACAATTGCACAAAATCATAAATACACGTAATGCCCTGAGATGCTATGGTTTCATTGCATGTAAATGCAGATATTCGCCTTTTACTTGGTCAGATACAACAAATTGTTACTTCAATTGCAGCTGGCCGACAAGATCCCGGCTCGATACATCTTGTCGGGCTTGTTTTTCCTGGGCATCGTTACGTTAGTCCCAACCAGGAACGGATTCAGCGTCGCCATCGTGGTCATGGTGAACAGTTCATCGTCTGCTTCACCTGTCAATCAAACTGCTCCCTACCAACTCTGTCCCAGCAGCGGGGCTGGAAATACTTCCGCACAGGTAGGAAAATTATTCTTATTGATAATCAATGTATTGGTGCCGGATATTCATTTTTTGTCTTAATCACATTCAACATGACAATGATACCATATTGAGAGGTTAGAGGGGGAAAGCAAACTGACAAAATCTCGTGCTGTTAAATCACCGAGCTACATGTACAAATTATGGAAGGAGCTATACTGCAGACAAGTGATGATCCTTTGCACAATATGCACTAGATCTGGTTATCTGCTATGTGGTTACAGAGCGAGGAGGGAGAACTGGAGTGGAGTGCGAGTCTGAGAGGAACTCTACTGGGAGCGTACTATTATGGCTACATCATCACTCAGGTGAGCTTATTAGACAAATTCCCTTGTACTCGAATAGGGTCCATGTATAGGGAAACGTAAAACAAGCCCTTGTATGCATTGGATCTTGAACAAAATGATGTGTTTTAACGTTAATTTCAATAACTTATCACTACTTATTACTACCTGAAACCTGCATATGACTGTCTTTTGTCACGTGATTATCACATCAAGTCACGTGACAAGAGGACTCCAAGACGAAATCTTAACCAAGTTGAAGAAGAGACAGAGTGCGTCTCGAAAGCTGCCCAGAGCAGCTGAACTTCCGTTGTGTGTTTTGGTTAAATATTCGTCAAAATTCAATTATCCTCCCCGTTACATTTGTATGGACTGAAATTATTCCATCTCATATCCCCTGTCTAGGCTGAGGAGCAATCCTGACGTGACTTCATCACTGAGACAACACATCTTTGTGCCTCGTAAAACAAAGCATATATTTTGCGTCTGTGAAATTCACAGCACATTGCCTCACACAGGTGGTAGGTGGTGTGTTGGAGCAGAAGTTGGGCGGCAAACTCGTGTACGGGACGGGCATGTTGGCCGTTGCTGCCCTGGACGCTCTTGGTCCCGTGGCTTCCAGGGCCAGCCCTTGGGCGATGTTTGCTGTCAGATTCATCATGGGTCTGGTGTCTGTAAGTTATCATATTACTTAGCTTGAATTTTCAGAAATTATTATTAATTAGGACTTTGAAAGATGTAAACTTTATCTTTTTGATATATTTTCTCTAGCCCTTACCTCCTTCTTCATGACCTCAATGAAATGCGGATTGCAGGCCGATTCAAACAAACAAACAAACAAACAAACAAACAAACAAACAAACAAACAAAGTATAGTCTGCATGTGACGTTTAATTTATGTCTCTTTTTTCCAGGGAGTTCTGTTCCCCACCATGTACGGAGTCTGGGGCCGATGGGCTCCCCCTACCGACAGGACAAAACTTCTGGCGTTTTGCTACATAGGTAAAGTTCTACAGCATTTCGGATGTCAAGTGTCTTCTGTAACTAGAAAGTAAAAAATGTACATTTAATTTAGTTTTCTATAAGGCTTTTGTCTATTGCTTCTAAATCTAGATTGGTTGAAATTGTTCCTTATGTATTTTTTTGTTCACGCCAATGCAGGTTTGCCCCTTGGCAGCATCATCAACTACCCACTGGCGTCCTTCCTAGCTGCTGAGCTGGGCTGGGAGGCTATCTTCTATATTCCTGGTAAGGAAATGTAAAAATGTCATTTTCATCAACGTACCAATCCATAAAATCTTTGAATTTATGTTCGGCAGTGTGTCCATCAAATAATGTTCGGTGACATAATTATTCAAAAGATTTCGTGATGTGTGAGATTTGACGAATATCTCGAAGGTGTCCGATGCTAGCATGCTCAACACCATCAGCTACATAGCATAATGTGTGAGTCTACATGGTATAGACCCCCAAACAATGATGAGTGCATCTTTTGGTACATGTAGTTAACGTTTTTCGTAAGCCCACAAAACTCATAAAGACCACCACCACTACGAGAAGAGATAATAGATTGAATCACCGCTTTATCCCCTAACTTTCTGTAGGAGGTTTTGTAGCAGTCTGGCTTGTATTTTGGCTCCTCCTGGCTTACGACTCGCCTGCAAAACATCCGCGGATCCTGGAGGAAGAACAGAAGTACATAGAAGACAGTATCGGGGGAAAAGTACAACAGGTAACAAGCAAAGATGCGATCTGCTCCATTATACTATGTTCTTATGTGAGATATTTTGTTGGTATAGCAGACATGATTCTGAGCTTTGAAACATCTAGTTTGAATGATAACAGGCCCTGCATTTTCTCCGATAGAAACCAAGAGTTCCTTGGCTGAAAGTATTGTCGTCACTTCCGGCCTGGGCTCTCATCGTCGGTCAATTCTCTTCCAACTGGGGGAACTACTTCTTGCTTACCCAACTGCCGAACTACATGAAGAATGTGCTGGGGTTCAACATTACAACGGTATACTTTGAAGTGTCATTGGTATTTAGCTACCATTTTCTGGTGGATAACAGTAGAAATCGATGTTTCACAAGGACCACCCTACTTTAATATACATTCAAATCTTCCCCGATTGATCTAGTATTTACAAATCTTCTCGCATTAAATAATTATCTTTTCAATAAATCTAAACCATATCACGCGAAGACGCACCCCAATAGCGCTGGGGAACAGGGGAGCATTGATTTAGTTTGGTCCAGCTCTTAAAATTTTACGACACCGATAATATGTCTTTCTATCTTCCAGAACGGTTTGCTGTCTGCTCTTCCGTTCGTCCTCGCCATGGTCTCCATGTTGGCGTCAAGCGTTGCAGCTGACCGCTTGATCCAAAACGGGAGGATTCCCAAGGTGTGGATAAGGAGGGGATTCGTTATCACAGGTAAGCGCACTTTTCTCTCCCCAACTTTAGCTTACACTTTAATTAGATCCTCCCACAGAGATGTGCTTCACTTGGGAATGATCACGAACGCAAGCACTGTAGAGAGTGGAAAGCCGTGGTGGCCCGCATCGTCGTTGTTTGTGAGCGGCAACGATGATGGTAATGATGAGATCCTCCCGCAACTCCTATCAACAGTTATCAAAATTAAGCGCATGATTGAACAGCTGATCACATGCTGCCCAATATTGTGAATGGTTGTCTCCACACACAGGATTTTCCGGCATGGTGATCTGCGGAGTGATCCTGGCGAACCTGAGCGGATGTAACCCTGTCGCTGCCGTTGCCTTGCTGTGTCTTATCCAGTTCTTCAATGCTCTGACGACAGCAGGCATGCGCGCAGTCCATGTTGAATTCGCGCCCAGGTTCAGTGGGGTGACCTTCGCCCTGGCCAACACGGCAGGGACTCTTCCAGGGATCTTCGCTCCTCTGTTGGTCGGATTCATAACAGAGAATGATGTAAGTACTCAACACTACACGACACAACACACAAGCCAACACAACACAACACAACACAACACAACACAACACAACACAACACAACACAACACAACACAACACACAACATAGCACTACGAGTCTCGACGAGACGCAATGCGGCGCGACACGACATGACGCGACATGGCACGACTAGATACGACATGACTAGGCTGCTGTGCGTCTCAAAATCATCCAACTTTGCATGTGGGTATTTATTGGAGTTTTTCGTTTCTGTTAAAATATGAGGAATGCAATGTCCTGCATGCTTGGAAATGTTGGCTTTCCTGTCAACAATAATTTTACTTCAGCCGCTGGGAATCTTCAGTCTGGTTTTGATATGTCAGTATGAATTGTTTCACAGCTCTGTTATGGCCCTTACATTATCTTGATTTAATAATATGAAACATGTTTGTTGACCCTTGCAGCCAACTCTCGCTGCCTGGATGAAAATCTTCTACATAGGAGCGGCTCTTCAGGGTGTGGGAGGGATTTTCACCGTGGTGTTCATGCGCACTGACGTCCAGCCCTGGGCTCGGGAAGAGGCCGACCAAGAAGCCAACATCGCTGAAAAGGTCCGTACAAAAAGCTAGGGCAGAGACGCCTTTACATATACATTTATAGTAATATGAGCGCGATATAGAATGTAGCTATAAAAACATTTGGACTTCTCAGTTACGGTATCGAACCTGACAACACGTCCATACTACTGATTCATGTTTCCTATGTAACACTGTCATTATTGTGTTGTCATAATTAAACTCAAGTTGAAAGGGAAGATCTCGACTAGCATTTTACAGCAAATCGACGAATAAATATTTCCAAACATCATATTGGTCTCTGTGCCCGTAGAGAAGGGACAGTTCTATCTATGGTATAATACATCTGATGAGTGTTTTCACATATATTTTCACAGGGGACAGAGCTGACTGGTTCCAAAGACCTCATCATTGCTAATGAACACGCCGAGATGCCGACACAGAATGTCGAGATGTTCATCACCAAGTTATAGATACCTTGGTCCTTCTTTGGATTTTTGACGAGTTTTCTTATTTTTATTGTTACTTCTGTCTATTACACATATTCTAAAAAAGGAACATGCGAACAATCATTTTGAATGTTGTTGCACCTAACATTTAAAGACATTGTCTTATAAATAAAACGCAAACTTAAAGTTTTTATCTATTTGAAGTGGTGCAAAGGTGAGAGCAGTACTGTCTAATCACTCTACACGTGCAAATGTCAAGTTATCGATGTCAAAATAAACATCACATGCACAAAAGTCTCTTTAAGCGATATTCACCTTCACTTTAAAACACACGGTGTGAGGAAATGTAATCCATGCATTAGATCGCGACTCCGCGTTTGAGAAAGTTAATGCAACGTGTACGCATAACTGCTACGGATACGCGTTTTGTGTAGCATTATGAGAAACACGGAAATAGTCCTGCATTGCTAGTGATTGGATTCGGCCTCTACCTGTATATACCTATGTAATGGTCCAAAGGTGAGAGTAATAAAGGGTTAATGCCCCGCCGGTCGGGGGCGATAACCACCGAATAAATCACAGAGTGAAACTACTACAAGTCTTAACACTAGTGTTAGTGTCCTGTCCCCCGTATAATGGTGCGGTCCAAAAAGTCTTGATAACCTGATAACCCATGGGAAACTGAGCCTTCTGATTGGCCGACGGCTACTGGCTATGTGATAATACTGAATAATCATTCTGTTCATACAATGAAAGGCCGTGTGTATTGTCTCCAACAGACAGCCAGACGCCTAGCAAAGGTTACTGTGACATTTTCAGGTCTCCAGTAGCAACTTTCTTTACCCTTACAAGTTAGGCAGGTAGTCCGTACAACACGGAGATCAGAGTTCAGCGCAGTTGGAAGAGCTGATACCGTGGAGGTAGGTCTTTAAACTAAACTGCTAATGACCAGAATACGATGACTTCGATGTTGTCCAAAACCGTAGTTCTAATCAGTTGTGAACGAGGCAGTTGCAGTTGCTATGTCTAAATTACAGTAGTCACTATAGAAGTCACTTATGTATTCATTGAACTTTATCATCATCGCGTGTGTGTGTGCTGCACCCTTTCTCTAAATTCCATTGTAAAATGTGTTGTCATTCTAGCGCCTGTGTTAGATTATCTAAACGTTAAGGTGTGTGCTATAATGTGTATATCATAGACTTTGGAAAAAAAATTCAGTCTAAATTAAAGATATCGTGACTTACATTTATGTCACAGACTTTGGAAAAATGGGTTCGGAAAGCAAGGATATGACGTCATCGAACGTTGAGGAGACAAAATCAGGCCAGGACTCGAAAAAGGGAAGCTGCTGTCTGGTATGTGCACTAACACTTTTCTACACGTTTATCTGTCGAATTTTCGCAGGCAATACGTTGCCTAAATCAATATACTGTCTCTGGTATGGAGGTACAGAGTGTACCAAGGGCGTTCTGTAGAACGTTCTTGGTTGTACAAAGTACAAAGAACAAATGCATATATATATATACACGCAATGCTCTGCTATGATTTCGTGGCATGTTTATGTAGAAATTCGCTTTTTACTTGGTCATATTCACAATTTGTACTTCAACTGCAGCTTGCCGACAAGATCCCGGCTCGATATATTTTGTCGGGCTTGTTCTTCCTGGGCATCCTTACGTTAGTCCCAACCAGGAACGGATTCAGCGTCGCCATCGTGGTCATGGTGAACAGTTCATCGTCTGCTTCACCTGTCAATCAAACTGCTCCCTACCAACTCTGTCCCAGCAGCGGGGCTGGAAATACTTCCGCACAGGTAGGAAAATTATTCTTACTGGTAATCGTTATATTGGTGCAGGATATTGATTTTTTTTCTATTAATCACAAACCAATGATACCACATCAACAGGTTCTAGGGAAACACACTAGATATGCGCTGGTTGCCATGTTATGTATGTTATATTGTTACGTGATTACAGAACGAAGAAGGAGAACTGGAATGGAGTCCAAGTGTGAGAGGAATTCTACTGGGGGCGTACTATTATGGTTACATCATCACTCAGGTAAGCCGTTTGATAGTCTCCACCAGACTCCTTTTGCAGGCTACATAAATAGTACAAATCGGCCTAAAAAGGGATATAATTGACCAGAGAAGGTGGCTAGTAGAAATTGGCAAAATAGAGAGACAACATGACAGGGGAGATTGTCCGCTAAGGTGCACATTTGCCGCCTCCCGAGCAGACCAACCTAAGCGTTCTACACAGATAAATTTGTATAAAATTAATATTCATATGTAGGGAAACGTAAAACAAGTCCCTGTACACATTGGATCTTGAACAAAATGATGCGTTATAACGTTAACCTCCATATTTTATTCTCATTGGTAAATTTGTGGGGACTGAAATTGTTCACTCTCATATTTTTGCCTCTGGTTAAGGAGCAATCTTGAAGGACGGGAGGTCGTTACTGAGACAACATACAGACCATCCTTGTTCCTTGTAAAACAAAGTGTATTTCTTATCTTTTGCGTCTGTCAAACTCACAGTACATGAGTTCTGTTTTGCCCCACACAGGTGGTAGGTGGCGTGTTGGAGCAGAAGTTGGGCGGCAAACTCGTGTACGGGACGGGCATGTTGGCCATAGCTGCCCTGGACGCCCTTGGTCCCGTGGCCTCCAGGGCCAGTCCTTGGGCGATGTTTGCTGTCAGATTCATCATGGGTCTGGTGTCTGTAAGTTAACTTATCTTAAGCAACTCGGATTTCCTTGCAGAAAGTTATATTAATTAGGACTTTGAATGATGCAAACTTACTTTATCTTTTTGATACATTTTGTCTGACGCTTACCTCTTCCTTCGTGGTCTCAATGAAAAGTGGATTGCAGGTGGATATGAGCTTCTCCTGTTTTCCAGGGAGTTCTGTTCCCCACTATGTACGGAGTCTGGGGCCGATGGGCTCCTGCTACCGACAGGACAAAACTTCTGGCGTTTTGCTACATAGGTAAAGTTCTACATGTGTAAATTAAGTGTACTGTATGTGTATCGGTATAGCGGGTATAATCGCCCTTCGGCGTAACACACCAGCTTCGCAGGCACGCGGCGCGGCGGCAGCTGGCTACATTACACCTAACGACTTGTTACACCTAACCCTTGAACATCTAACTCTAAACCTAAAGCGATCTAATGACAATGCCCTTACTGATTTACAGCATTTCGAGAGTAAGGTGTCCTTCTGTACATAGAAAGTAAAAGGGTGCATTAGTTTTGTTGGGGAGCCTTGCTGAATCTAGATTGGCTAACATCCTATACATGTATCAGGCCTAAACATGTGACATTTTTTTACACAAATGCAGGGTTGCCCATTGGTAACATAATCAACTACCCACTGGCGTCCTTCCTAGCTGCTGAGCTGGGCTGGGAGACTATCTTCTATATTCCTGGTAAGGAAATCTAAAAATGCCATCAACATACCAATGCAGAAAGGTGTCAAATGCTAGGCTGATCAACACCATAGCATAATGTGATAGTCTACATGGTATAGACCCCCAAACAATGATGAGTGCATCTTTTGGCACATGTAAGCCCACAAACTCAACTCATAAAGACCACCACCACTACGAGAAAAGATAATAGATTGAATCACCGCTTTATCCCCTAACTTTCTGTAGGGGGTTTTGTAGCAGTCTGGCTCGTATTTTGGCTCCTCCTGGCTTACGACTCGCCTGCAAAACATCCGCGGATCCTGGAGGAAGAACAGAAGTACATCGAAGAAAGTATCGGGGGAAAAGTACAACAGGTAACAAGCAAAGATGCGATCTGTTCCATCATACTATCTTCTTACATGTATGTGAGATATTTTGTTGGTATAGCAGACATGATTCTGAGCTTTAAACACATTGTTTGAATAATAAGAGGCCTTGCGTTTTCTCCGATAGAAACCAAGAGTTCCTTGGCTGAAAGTATTGTCGTCACTTCCGGCCTGGGCTCTCATCGTCGGTCAATTCTCTTCCAACTGGGGCAACTACTTCTTGCTTACCCAACTGCCGAACTACATGAAGAATGTGCTGGGATTCAACATTAGAACGGTACGTGATGGGTACCGGTGAGCTGTTTAGCTGCCAACTATTGTAATTGTTATATCATGTTTCCTGGACCACTTTTATGTCACGAAATCGATGTTTCACAAGGATACTCGGACTCCACCTACTTTTGGACCAAATTTGCCTCGATTGAAACAGTATATATTGAACAAATCTGCTTGCATCGTCATAAAATTCTGAATTCATGATTTTATTGCAAACCGCATGAAGAAGTCGATCTGAAGGGGTGCTAGGGCCAGGAAGGGATTGTTCACTCTAGCTCTTGTACTTACAACTCTCCTGTTCTAAAAGACCCAGAACACTTCCTTTTTCTCCCCCAGAACGGTCTGCTGTCTGCTCTTCCGTTCGTCCTCGCCATGGTCTCCATGTTGGTGTCAAGCGTGGCAGCTGACCGCTTGATCCAAAACGGGAAGATTCCCAAGGTGTGGATAAGGAGGGGATTCGTTATCGCAGGTGATCTCTTACCAACCTTATTTTAGACCTTAGATCCTCCCATAGAGATGTGCTTCACCTGGGAAGGATCACGAAGGCAAGCACTGTAGAGAGTAGAAAACGGTGGTGGCCCGCATCGTCGTTTATTGTGAGCGGCAACGACGACGACGACGACGATGATGATGGTAATGATGAGATCCTCCCGCAACTCCTATAAACAGTTATCAAAATTAAGCACTTGATTGTCACAACAGCTGATCACATGCTGCCCACTTTATTGTGAATGGTTGTCTCCTAGCCTATGTAACCCAAGCTCCGGGGGGCTCCCTACATAGTCCGCCACCCACCTCGGGGGCCGGCTGGATGTTGGGCGGCCGGCAAAAGCGATTTAATCAGGCTAGTTGTCTTCACACACAGGATTTTCCGGCATGGTGATCTGCGGAGTGATCCTGGCGAACCTGAGCGGATGTAACCCTGTCGCTGCCGTTGCCCTGCTGTGTCTTATCCAGTTCTTCAACTCCCTGACGACAGCAGGCATGCGGGCAGTCCATGTTGAGTTCGCGCCCAGGTTCAGCGGGGTGACCTTCGCCCTGGCCAACACGGCAGGGACTCTTCCAGCTAGGGATCTTCGCTCCTCTGTTGGTCGGATTCATAACAGAGAATGATGTGAGTACACAATACAACACGACACGACACAACACAACACACAACACAACACAACACAACTCAACTCAACTCAACTCAACACAACACAACTCGACGAGACGCTATGCGGCGCGACACGACATGACGAGACATGGCACGACTAGATACGACATGACTAGGCTGCTGTGCATCTCAAAATCATCCATGCAACTTTACATGTGGGTATTTATTGGAGTTTTTCGTTCCTGTTCAAATATGAGGAATGCAATGCCCTGCATGCTTGGAAATGATGGCTTTCCTGTTAATAATTTTACTACAGCCGCTGGGAATCTTCAGTCTGGTTTTGATATGTCAGTGTGAATTGTTTCACAGCTCTGTTATGGCCCTTACATTATCTATGAAACATGTTTGTTGACCCTTGCAGCCAACCCTCGCGGCCTGGATGAAAATCTTCTACATAGGAGCGGCTCTTCAGGCTGTGGGGGGAATTTTCATCGTGGTGTTCATGCGCACTGACGTCCAGCCCTGGGCTCGGGGAGAGGACAAAGAGGTCTTTATAAATAAAGTAATATGAACGCGATATAGAATGTAGCTATGAATACATTTGAAGTTCTCAGTTACTTGACAACACGTTCCATACTACTGAATTATGTTTCCTATGTAACATTATTGTATCGTCATAATTAAACTCATTTCGAAAGGGGAGACTAGCATCTTACAGCAAATCTACGAATAGATATTTGCTATCATCATATGGGTCTATATGTGTCTATACGGGTCTCTGGGCCCGTAGAGAACCAGACGGGGCAGTTCTATCTATGGTATAATACATCTGATGAGTGTTTTCATATATATATATATTTTCACAGGGGACGGAGCTGACTGGTTCCAAAGACCTCATCATTGCTAATGAACACACCGAGATGCCGACACAGAATGTCGAGATGTTCGTCACCAAGTTATAGATCATTTCGTTCCTTTCTTTGGACTTTTAATCAACGAGTTTCTTTTTTCGTATTTTTATTGTTACTTCTGTCTATTACACATATTCTTAATAAAGGCAAATGCGAGCAATCGTTTTGAATGTTGTTGCACATACCAATTAAAGACATTATCTTACAAATAAAACTGATATTGTGTCCTCGGATCTAATTGAGCCATAAGACAGACCTGTCATATAGATTGTTACCTCAAGGTCTATTTGATCACTCGCGTCAAATGTGGCAAGACTAAAGGCAGTTCAACAGGTCACCTTTTACTAACAGTATCTGTATCTTCATATCCGGTATAAACGCACTTCGGCGTCAAGGTAACATGCCAGCTTCGCAGGCACGCGGCGCGGCGGCAGCTAGTTATCATATTATATTACAGTAACTTCTTGATAGATGTTGCGACGTAATTTCAAACAATAGATGCCCTTGGTTCCAAGGTAAGGTAGGGTTAAGCTTATTGAACAGCTGCTGTCATAACTTCGGCCTCCAATCAATCAATAAACCAACCAACCAATTAGCAACCAGCCACCAAACAAACATACACAAACCTACGTGCGCGTATGGCATCAGCTCAAAGACGATGGTCCAAAGGTGAGAGTAATAATGCAAATATGCCTAGTCATCCTGCGCACATAAAAAGTGTGAAAGTATCTCACAGTTCAAACCTATCTCTCTTATATGAACGTATATTTTGGCATTGAGAATAGATCAAGGGATCGGCATGACAATTATTGTGGCTGTCAATATAAACATCACAATGCACAAATGTCTCTTTAATTTATTTAAGCAATTTATAGCCTAGGAAAATGCACAGTGTTAGTTACAAATCCCGCCTTTTATAAGGGTATAACAATGTATATGAACCCATCGTGGTCTGTATTTGAGCGTTTTTTGTAGCCTTGTCAATATGACACAGATGCAGTCCTGTATTGCTTGTGATTAATGGTTCGACATACATGTAGATTGTGTCTACCTGCGATTAATGGTCCAAAGGTGAGAGCATTGATGAATAGTCACTGTTTATGTAAGTGAAAGGTCGCGCGTGGTCTTCAACAGACAGCGCGCGTGTACCACCTCGCCACTTCCACACACGCACAGGTCACTGTTAGATGTTAGGTCTCCCGTTATAGAAATGTTTCTTGCCCCCTAGGCTGACAGGTAGTCGGTGTGACACAGAAATCATAGTTCAGCGCAGCTGGAAGATCTGATAGCGTGAAGGTAAGTGTTTGAACAATACTCCTAATGGACAGAATGTAACAACACCGATGTTGTCAAAGGCTGTCGTTCTAATCAGTTGTGGACGAGGCCGTAGCATTTGCTATGTCTCGATTAGCTCACTATAGAAGGATTGGTCATAAAGTGTGTGGTGATGGTATGTGCAACGAGTTTGTGGTCAGATATACAGTAAAGTTCAGCTCATTACTGAATATGTAATCTAGACACCTTAACCGTTTAATCTATTGAACGCAATCATCATTGTGGTATGTGTGTGTTGCAACCTTTCTATTAGTTCCATTTCTATATTTATTGTGTTGTTGTTATTGTAGCGTCCATATTAAATATGTTGTGACTCATAATATATGTGCTATAATGATGTGTATCACAGACTTTGGAAAATGGGTTCGGAAAGCAAGGATGTGACGTCAACGAAGATTGACGAGAGGAAACCAGAGGACTTGAAAAGGGGGAGCTGTTGTCTGGTATGTGGAGCAATTCTTTTCACTATTACCTACTAAATATTGATTGCTAATATTTGTACCTTTCAACATACTGTCTATTACGGCGGTACGGTGTTATAATTGCACAAAAGAGTTATGTATAATGTAGGTCGATGCTATGGCTTTATGACACAAATGTAAGTACCGAAACCCGTCTTTTTCTTGGTTATATTTGGTAAATTTTCTCTTGTATTGCAGCTGGCCGACAAAATCCCTGCTCGATACATCTTGTCGGGCTTGTTTTTCTTCGGCGTTGTTTCGCTAGTCACAGCCAGGAACGGATTCAGCGTCGCCATCGTGGTCATGGTGAACAGTTCATCGTCTGCTTCACCTGTCAATCAAACTGGGACCTACCAACTCTGTCCGAGCAGCGGGGCTGGAAATACTTCCGCACAGGTAGGACAATTATCCTTCAATCATAATAATTCTATCGGTACAGAAAATTCATTTAGCACAATCACAATCTTTCAGATTAAGAATAATGATATGACATCAAGGGGTTAGACGGAAAATATAATTGACAAAGTTACTTGCTATTTAGTAGGTTATTAATGATACAACTACCTGAAGGGCCTTCTGAAGACATGTTTGATGATCTATTTCACTATACATGTATGTATTACATATGAACTGGTTGTCAGATGCATGTCGCCATGTCGGTCTGTGATTACAGAACGAGGAGGGAGAACTGGAATGGAGTAAGAGTCTGAGGGGGATTCTTTTGGGGGCGTACTATTATGGCTACATCATCACTCAGGTGAGTGGTTTAGCTTTATATGTATTATAAGGGTGATGTATAGGAAGACGTAAACAAGCAATTTCATGCATTGTATCTAGAACAGAATGATTGGGTATACAGCGTTAATATCCATATGGTATCCTCCTCAGATGTTACACTGAAATCATTCAATCTAAACGATGTCCCTCTTATATCTTTGCTTAAGCAGCAATCTTCAAAGACGAGATTTCATCACTGAGACAAAATACAGACTTTCTTTGTACCTTCTAAAACAATTGTGTTTCTTATCCTTTTATTTGTTTTTTTTCCCACACAGGTGGTAGGCGGTGTGTTGGAGCAGAAGTTGGGCGGCAAACTCGTGTACGGGACGGGCATGTTGGCCATAGCTGCCCTGGACGCTCTTGGTCCCGTGGCCTCCAGGGCCAGCCCTTGGGCGATGTTTGCTGTCAGATTCATCATGGGCCTAGTATCTGTAAGTTGTCATTATACAATCAAATAATCATGGTACGTTCAGATACACACACACACACACACACACACACACACACACACACACACACACACACACACACACACAAACACTATAGTCTGGTTGTGACTTAATGAAGGTCCTCTATCCTGCATTGCAATGATAACTTTGAATTGTTTTCCAGGGAGTTCTGTTCCCCACCATGTTTGGAGTCTGGGGCCGATGGGCTCCTCCAACCGAAAGGACGAAACTTATGGCAATTTGCTACATAGGTAACTAAACATGTATCAATTTTCTTTTGTGAGTCTTCCGTCATTCTGTCTGTAGAAAGTAGGAGATGTTTATTGTATGCTTTATTCATATATTCTGCACAGCCATTCGGAATCTAGATTGCTTTAAAATCGTAGCTTAGCATCTAATCATAATTCTTTTTTTTCTTCTCTTGTTTACACAAATGCAGGGTTGCCCATTGGTAACATGATCAACTACCCGCTGGCTTCCTCCCTCGCTGCTGAGTTGGGGTGGGAGACTATCTTCTATATGCCTGGTATGGAAAGTCTAAAAATCCTTTTTTCGTTCCCATACCGATCCATAAAAGTTTGTTCTCAGTGTAGTGTGTCAATCGAGTAACGTTCAGTGCGAAGGTTTTGCCACTCTTTCCAGACGAAAGTTTTGTGATGCCTGAAAAGGTGTCCAGTGCAAGGCTGCTCAGTGCAATAGCATAATAGAGAATTGTCTACATGGTGTTCGAAATAGTAGATAATTAAGATACTCGATGCACCTGAACCTACTTAGGAGACTTACAGATGTTAACTCCTTCTTGAAGCGGGCACATAATATACTAATAGCTTTGCCCTTGATGTGTCGCCCAGAAATGTGATGATGGATTGAATCCCCACTGTACTTACAAACTTTCGATAGGACTTTTTGTAGCAGTCTGGCTCGTATTTTGGCTCATCCTGGGTTACGACTCGCCTGCAAAACATCCGCGGATCCTGGAGGAAGAACAGAAGTACATAGAAGACAGTATCGGGGGAAAAGTACAACAGGTAACAAGCAAAGATGCGATCTACTACTTCTGTTTACTTAATCTTGACCTTTCGAAAAACATATTATGGGTTGAATATTAACAGGAACTGTATACCTTCTCTTTGATAGAAACCAAGAGTTCCTTGGCTGAAAGTATTCTCGTCCCTTCCGGCCTGGGCTCTCATTATTGGACAACTCTCTTCAAATTGGTGCAAATACTTCTTGCTGACGCAACTGCCGAACTACATGAAGAATGTGCTGGGTTTCAACATCAAAACGGTGAGCTGTGATGTGTCAAAGGTCTTAAGTTGCCAATTATTGTCATTTTGCCTGGTGGAATGCCGTTATGTGCGGAAGAAATCAATTGTAAAGTTTCAAAAGGATCCATAGATTGGGTGCAATTAAGGGAGCCTCAGCCTGGTATACAAGTAGGATAGTACCCCGCCTAAAGCGTCACTTTAGACGTACCTTGGGCAAATCTGCCTGGACTGAAACAGTAGATATGTACAAATTTAAATCTGCTCGCATCACCTTAGATGTCCCAATTGATGATTTGATTGCAAATCGCATAACGATGTTGGACTGAAGGAGGCCTGGGGATCAGGGAAGGATATTTGACATTCTAGCTCTTACAAATCACTAGCAGTGCTAGACTAGTACTATAAAGTATACTATTATAAGCCCGTAACACCGCCTTTTCTATATCCTCTAGAACGGCTTGCTGTCCGCTCTTCCGTACTTTCTGGCCACGATCTCCATGTTGGCGTCAAGCGTTGCAGCAGACCGCTTGATTGAAGGCGGGAAAATTCCCAAGGTGTGGATAAGAAGGGGATTCGCTATCACAGGTGATTAAATTTCTCAAGATTGAGATTTCTCAAGATTCAAATTTGCCAAGATTGCATGATTGTGTTGGCCATCGCTGTCCACCCTATTGTGAATGGTTTTCTCCACACAGGATTTTCCGGCATGGTGATCTGCGGAGTGATCCTGGCGAACCTGAGCGGATGTAACCCTGTCGTTGCCGTTGCCTTGCTGTGTCTCTCTGAGGCCTTTAACTCCCTGACGACAGCAGGCATGCGGGCGGTCCATGTGGAGTTCGCGCCCAGGTTCAGCGGGGTGACTTTTGGAATGGCCAACACGGCAGGGACCCTGCCGGGCATCTTCGCTCCTCTGTTGGTCGGATTCATAACAGAGAATGATGTGAGTACAAAATACTACACAACTTTTCACATGGGTATTTCCGTTCCTGTGCAAATTTGAGGGGTAAGAAATGCAATGTGCTGATTTTCCTTCGAATTGTTGGTTTTAATTTCCACGACAATCATGCTTACCGTAAATTTGGCCGCCGGGCATCTTTATTCTGGTTTTCTTATGCTATAGCTGTGCAACAACGCATACCGGCTATATAGCTGGTATGCATTGTTGCCATATATTACAGCCGTGCAACAATGTATATTAGCTATATAGGCACTTACATTATCTTAGCCCTTGTCCTGCTGGCAATTTTTACACAATATTTTCAAATAATTTCATGTCTTAATCAGGTCACAGTCCCTTGACTTTTTTTGCCCCGCGGTGGCGTAGTTACTTCCGCATTCGTTGCGTTTCGCTGCGGTGTGATGCGTTACACGAGAAACACCCCCAAATCGTACCTACACAGGGTACTATATAGATGGTACTATATGTGCAACCCATATATATATGGGCCCCGCAGGACAAGGGTTAACAATACATACGCTTTATGTCCGTGGACCTTTTCAGCCAACCCTCGCTGCCTGGACGAAAATCTTCTACATAGGAGCGGCTCTTCAGGGTGTGGGAGGGATTTTCACCGTGGTGTTTATGAGCACTGACGTCCAGCCCTGGGCTCGGGAAGAAACCAACATCGATGAAAAGGTTCGTATAAAAGAGTACACAAAGCGAGGTTAGAGTGGTCTTTAAAAGTTCCGTGAGTTTGAGACAGAAGAAAACATACTAACTTCCCAGGTACAGTAAGTTGCATCAGTCCTGAATTTTTTCTCTTTGTGTAACAATGCGAAATGATAGATTAGCATATCGAATAATAGATAAAAAGCAACTGTTGAGTGTTGTGACATATGTTCACAGGGGACGGAGCTGACTGGTTCCAAAGACCTCATCATTGCTAATGAACACGCCGAGATGCCGACACAGAATGTCGAGATGTTCATCACCAAGTTATAGATCATTTGGTCCCTTCTCTGGACATTCGATCATCAATTTTCTTAATATATGCACTCTCTGTGGATACGTAGATGACCATACGAAACTCCTCGGTCTGTATTGTTGTTGTGTCAATAAAGTTTTCAAGTCTTTATTCACATTTTACAGCTTCTTGCAAGTGACTCTCTTATGTTGTCTTTTGTGTGTGAAACAAGCTCTCTTTTATACCTCCACGGTGTAACTTAGCAATAGATATATTGTAGTTTCTTGGAAATTGACAGGGAGCATTTCCATTCTATCGATATGCAAATAATACTATTTTTACTGCACAATCAATCTCTGTTTTGCTGATTCTACAATATGATGACAGCACCAAACTCAGCGCGAAGAAAGTAACAGGTGGTTTCAGGAGGACATCGCAACGTAATAAATTCAAAAGCAAGCAATATCACACCATGGGATATTGAAATTACAAAAATACTGCTAAATATTATTTTATTACAAATTTCAAAATGACATATTTCCATATAACGTTACCACCGCATCATATGGTAATCATTAGGGCGTCATTGCGTCATTCTTTGCGTTTGGAGATCCCATCGGACGGTCAAAGGTCACGGATAGTTTCGTCACATGATGTTTTCACCACCAGGTGAGAACTGGTACAGGTACGACTTTGGACCAGGTATATATTGACACTAAAAGGCATGTTTGCCATGTCTGTCAGAGGCACAAGTCCTGACAGAAGCCGGAGGACTTCTACACCGTATCTAGGATAGAAACGCAGTGCTGTCATGTCACAAGGGCTTGCGTTCTAGTTCAGGACGGTGTCTAGGAGTTGGGTCGACGATCTTTTGTAAGGTAAGTTCAGTACTAAGCTGTTGTGCCTTTGTCTCACAAGCCTGGGTCACATACTTCGCACGACAGTATTACGACAGCAAATCGATGTCGTGGATGTGCTAAAAATAACGACATTTACTTTAATTATGACGGGAAATGGTCTGTGTGACTGCCGTATTCTCGCTGAAAATAGGTCGTCAAAAGTCGCGGGACGTTGTAATATGTATTGTGATTGCTCCACATAATTTGCAACGGCCAGGTTTAGTTCGGGACAAATATGGTGCAATACATCAGCTGACATGGGTCAATAACCTTTGTATTAATGTCATATGACACCTCAGTGTGGACTGTACTAAATTATGAAACTATCATTTTGCATTACTTTTCATGTTTATGAAAGGATAAGCTTATAATAATGTTATATGACTACCAAATAAGTGCACTGCTTATTAGTGACACCAGCCACACCATGCAGTCTTTGAAACAATCTTATCTTTCATTCACTGAGGTTCAACTGAATTTTGCTTACTACAAAATGTATAATCTATGCCACTTCCTCTTTCACTTTCGTGACTATAATAGCCTGGTTGTGCAGACCCTCTTGTTGTTTCTATCAGGTCCCATTAGAATCCTAATGATGGGTTAAATGACCCTCAATGTCTGTCATAAATTATCTCTGTTCTCATTGTCAGACTGACCATAGTATATCTATCTTGATCCAAGTTATCTACATTCTCCTGCAAAAGTCTCAGTGTTTGTGAGTCAGTAGCATTTTGAGTAGCCAATTAGGCAAGTTTCAATTAATCTCGTACATGTAACTGTTACTATCCTGGCCATTTAAACTAACAGATAGAACTGCCTGCAGGAGGTCATGCCCCATTGAGTCTTAAAAGAGTGGAATCCTTGGATAATAATTATATGTTTCCAACCTGGGACATTAGTATCAAGGTCCTGATAAAAAAATTGCTTTAGACCCAAAAGTCAGTTTTCTCTCCTTGCACATGTAAAACCTTGTGTGTGTGGTGATTGTATTAGTTACAAAGTTAGCTTTTCACAGACAACAAAGGGACTTGTTTGGAGAAGAAACCAAGATTTGAAAGACAATAAGATTGACACAAAACAAAGCCATTATCCTACTTGTCTTCAGATGACAAGGCAAGGCATGTGACTCAAGTCACGTGAAGGGATTCCCAGGAATGTGGTTAGTCTGGTTGGGAAACTTTCAAAACAGGGAGGTTTGATATTTTCTTGTACATATGTATATGGTTATCTAAACCATCATATCTTGTATATTGAAATTGGCTATAGGACAGTTATAGATACATGTATATGTAAAACTTTGCAAATGTAAATCTACAAGTTCTGTTAGAAAAGGAAGTTGCTAATTCTTATGGTTTCAGTCACCCCTGTCTATGAAAATGGTTTCAACCAGCTGAACTGTCCTGGTGTGCCCCCTGAAACGTATCACAGACACTTTTAGGGTTATTCCTGGCAGGTTGGTTGGGTCTATCACAGGTTCCAAGCAAAAGAATCTGAGATTTGATTCCGCAAGAACGATTGTGACACTTTAATATCGGATGTTCTTACATTTCTTGGATTTGTCTTTGAAGCAGTCATGATGGATTTCTTAAAAAGGTATGTTTTTGAGAGAAAGTTTATTTTTCAATTACTGGGAAAAGGTGTATACCATTATCTAGAAAAATATTGTCTTTGGAAAAAAATTAAGTTGTAACATTGTTAGCATCCCTTGTGATTCCATAAGACTTTTCCCAAACTAAAAACAGATTGTTTTAATGATGTAAGTATAATGCAATCCACCTACTGTCCATTGTACTAGTATCTTGTCTTCACCTGTCAGGTTAACTTAGGCTTAAGACATGTTATGGGAAGCTTTGAAGTCACAAGACTTCCATGTGACAGTAATTAGAGACTCTTCCAATACCTGCTGTCCCAATTGCCCTCAGGGAATTCACAGTGGGGATTCCCTTCAGAGATCTTTGAACACTCATTTCATTATCCTTCTTTGAGATTTGAACAAACATGGAGAATTCCAGAACTAGGGGCGAAAAAAACATGCCCTACAATGACCACCGTGCAGTACCAAGCGGTAATTTTTGTGTCCCGGACGTGCCACCTGAAAATCGCAGTGTGGTGTGACGCGCCAGTTTTGGGCCTGTTAACGGTTTAAAAAATCTAATACAGCATGTGCTGCGTTGTAGGACACATTTTTTGCCCCGTGTAGACTGGCCCCTAGTCATGATAGATCCTACTAATGCGATTAGAGCATAATTTGTCTGGTATGTGAGTGATGTTACAGAGCCTGTTTCTGTCCTATTACGTAGTGATGAGTGGAGGTGTGAGCGCCATGGATCCTGTAACCTACGGAACCTATCGCAGTGTTGAAGACACGACCGTGGACAGGAGAAGACGCCCTCCTTTTGTTCCGAACCGATCGCAGACGCCGTCGATTCCCGAAGAAAATACTACAGACAGAGAGGACCGAGAAGTCGAATCTACTTTTCAGAACAATACTGACAATATGGAGAGAAGTCCGCTCCTGTCAGGGGAACCTTGCCCAAATGATCAGAATGCAAACAGAAGAAATAAACAAGTCAGGCCGAGGCTTACCAGACCGCAGTCTGCACCAAATGGGTATGATTTTAGATTACAGACTTGTTACTGTTGATTTTCATTTTCTATATTGATTATCACAATTAATATCCATGCTGTGCCCTTCTACATTGTTCATTTTGAAGGCAGCATTGTCGTTGTTTTTGGTTAGAAAATTAAAGGAAATGATGTTTTATAGTTTATTGACAACTTGCCTTTCTGCCTGATGACTAGTATACCAGCAGTCCTGTATAGCCACAACAACATGCAGGCTTTGGATGCTGATCTGGAGGCCCGGTTGGTGGAGGGAAGGGGTCGCAGTGTCAGTGCCTTGTCTTTAACATCCCAGATGGAACTTCATACCAGTGGGGAACATTGGTTCACACTGTCCAAGGGCACAAGGTCAGATATGCAGTTTTGGCTCTAATGTTCATTTATGTGTAAGATCTATATATAAGAAGAATATAATTTTGTCTATGCTAATGCAGAGGTTATGGTTAAAGGCTTATGTTATTATGTTTTCTACAGCAAGATATAACTGTTCAGTAAAGATTAGTGAATTCCTTTAATCAGTATTTTCAAGGATTGTGTCTTTTGTTTATGGGAACTTTCTTTCAGAATCACAATAAGTTTTGTTTTATCTTTTATACATTCAGGAAGTTCTTCAGACAGATGAAGATAGGAATCCTCTTCCTTATTGTCATAGCCTGCTCAGTAAGTTTGCTCTTTTTACTCTGAAATACAGTTGTCTGCAAAGTTTATGCTAAGTCCTGTATTACCAGTTGTACAAGTGAGTGAAAGTGATAGAAATCTTCTGAACCCACATGTAGCATTGTTCCAGGTGTGAATACTTTCATGCAACAATTTTGTTTGCTTTTTTCTCAGATAATGTTTGGCAGTATTCCAGAGGGTAACCAACATCCTGAGACCATTGCTGTTTCTAGTTCACAACCATACCGTATCCTTTATACTACATGTATTATACTCACGTCTGGTGACTTCAGTATTGATGGTTGTACTTGATGATTTATGGAAGTCTAAGACTGAATCTTTTTTTTGGTGAGTATAAAAATGTGTATCAGTAAGTTTGTGTTCTCAGATAATGCTGAAACAGAAGCGTACCCTTTGAACACACACAAAAGAATGGAAAAATATATATTTCAAACTATATTCTGTACTCTGAGGCATAATCCTTGACCTACATTTCAAATTCAGATAAGAAGATAGAAGTTGACATGTTATACGGCCAGGTAAAACTAGGTGTTGATGGGCCATTTGACCTACTAGCCAGCAAGGCTGCCACCCCTGACAACTCCATCAATGTGACATTGTGGTGCAATGTGACAAAAAATGCAACGATAAAGGTATGGATTCTTCTACATTTATTGAGACATTTGATGAATTGTCTAAAATATAATTTCTCTGCTTTATCTGCATTGTAAGGATATTTAGGAATATATGACATTACAAAGTCTTCACACTTTTGCTTTGACTGCTATTAAAAAGAAAAATTGCTAATTTCACTGTACACAATACTAGTTGTATTATGGCTTCGTCTTGTTTGTCATCATTTCTTTGTTTTTATAATTTAACATATTTGCAGATCTTGGCCAGTATCAGTATAATGGCTTTGTCTAAGTCGTAATTTTATTTCCTTGTACTTGCAGATCTTGGCCAACTACACCCTGGTGGTTAAGCACCCCACAGACATCCCAACATCAGACTGGGTTGCACAGACAAAGAGAGTGCAGGTTGAGAGAAAGTAAGACGTTTTTCTTAAAAAGTCTTGTGCATCAAAATGTTACTGTTAAGATTCAGTTAAATGTATTATGTCTCCTATTTGCTTAAAATTAAATTTGAATTCCAGGTTGTTTTGTATACTAGTATACGGGTATGAATAGCATTGCATTTGTTCTATTCTGAGACTTCCAACTTGTTAAAACCATCAGAACTGAAAGATTTTTCTTCACCCACCAGGAATGAGAATGACCTGATAATGGTGGACATCACAACGGACATGACGGAGGCCACGGCGCTCACCCTGTCGTACATCGAGCTGCCGCCCGCCATCGACTACAGCGTACTAATCGCCGCCATCATCCTGGGATTTGTCTACGTCCTCATCACGTTTGATGTAAGTTTGTCAGACATCGTTATTAGGACATGCTAGTTTTCATTAAAGGTTGCTTGATTATACAGGGTTTTCATGTATTTCTGAGCTTGGCTATGTACAGTGTATTCTTTTTTGCCAAGCTTCGCAATGTGTTAAAAAAATTACTCATCTATTCCATTAAAAAAGAGTATATGTAGATGCTTTAATTTTACACACTGTGTAATAAACTATCCATATAAAAAGTTACATACAGGTATAATTAACATATGAAATTGTACATTTCAATGTAGGTTTGGGAAATAATTTCTTCCAAAGTTGATGTATTCCCCCTCCCCCAAGAGCTAATGGTTCCACCCATTTCCATGGTTACAGCTGGTACACAGGACGATTGCCGCCATCATTGGTGCCCTTGCCGCCCTTGCAGCGTTGGCCATGCTGAATGAGAGACCCACCCTGGACCACATCATGGAGTGGATAGACTTCGAAACACTCTCACTCCTGTTCGGAATGGTGTGTACCCCACTTTTGGTATTAAGCCTTCCAGTGCCATAGGCCAGTTTTAAAACCTACCTAGTTCTAATCATCTACAACACTCTGAGGTTAAAATCATTCTGCATAACAGTTACTTTTTTTGCATATTATTCATTTAGTATAGTTTTAACAAAGGAAATATTTTAGTCCCACAAATAAGACCTCGATCATCTTCTATACAAATTTCATAATGAGAAGTCACCAGACATAGTGTTGATAATATGAATTGTAATGGTTTGCTAATCAATTGTTGAAAAATGTTTGTTATATTTCTTGAATGTCTTTTACAGATGATACTAGTGGCAATTTTCATGGAGACAGGATTCTTTGACTACGTTGCAATCAAGGTAAGATCAGTCTGTTATAGTTCAGGAATGTTAATCTTTAATTCTTCCACTGCTTTTCTAGTCCTCTCTGTATCTTTGTATAATATTCAAAACTGTTCTTTTCTATATCATTCTTCATAAAAGCATCAATCTGTCCAGATTATTTGGTGCATTTTATTTCAGTTTTCTTGGACAAGTAGTAGTTCTTGTTTTTAGCACAATAACCATCCCTGTCCTTGGTGCTGAATTGATGTCTGTTAGAAATGTGGTTAACCACTTCAAAATCTTAAGGTTCAAACACTACAAATCTAGCATTAAATACACTGTACCAGAGTTAATTGATGTATTGTGTGTTTTTGTGTTGTTTTTGTCCTGTTGCAGTGCTATAAGTTGTCCCGCGGCCGTGTGTGGGTGCTGATCTTTATCCTGTGTCTGCTGGCTGGGGTAGTGTCAGCCTTCCTGGACAACGTCACAACTATTCTTCTCATGGTGCCAGTCTCTATAAGGTCAGGACCATTGACATCTACTTACTGTTTATTATTTGTTTGTACATAAAAAAACACAACAATTTGCAGTAAAAATACGAAAAGGTGCCAGAGAAATCAGAGACTTTTTCGGTCCATCTTCGGTTCCCCAATAACGACAATAACTGTATAATAGCCATGGTCATTAACTGATAATTATCAAACATACATCTGATTTTTTAAAACTTCATATCTTATTACAGTACTGTTAATCATTTACTTTTTATTTGCTGCTGGTTGCTCTTTTGCAGCCAGATTTCATGTCTTTGAAAATTATGATTTGGTACTCATTTAGGAGCATTTGCTTAGCATGTGAAATTTCTTCTTTTCAGGTTGTGTGAGGTCATGAACCTTGACCCTAAGTATGTCCTGATTGCCATCGTCATGTTCTCCAATATTGGCGGGACCAGCACAGCTGTTGGCGATCCCCCCAATGTTATCATCATCTCTAATGCTAGATTCCAGGCTGAGGTACGTTTTGGTACTTGATGACGTACAATGTAGATGTGTTGTGTTCCTATTGTAAGTTTGAAAATTTCATATTGTCAAGGGTATATGCGTGATCAGCTGTATCTCTGTATCTGTATAGCCAGTGTAACTGCGCCTGACAGCATAACATACGAGCTTTGCAGGTACTTTTATAAGCCTAATCTTGATGTTCTGATTTAGTGAGATGCTGCTATAGTTAAACCACTGTGCCTAAGCACTTGTTAGTTCTGTACACCGAAGTCACAGATCTATGTGGCTTTGCACTAAGCAAAACTTGTTTAAAAACACCAACTAGTAACTTTCTTCCTGCAGTACAGAAAAATTGCAGTACTGCATTCTGACTAAGTATTACTACTGGTTGTTAAATATATAAGAACAGGGCTTTTATAACTGTATTGTGTATTGTTTTATCCCAGGGAATTGACTTTGCCACATTCACGCTCCACTTGTTTCTGGGTATCATCCCTGTCTACACTGTCGGCTTCATCCTCATCAGAATCATGTACATGTGTAAACAACTCTTCAACAAGGAGCATCCAGAAATAGTTGGTAAGCACTGGGCAGTATTATGATCCTCAAGTGTGACTTACAGACATTAGACTCAACTAAATCTCAGGGAAATGTACACATATTTGCTCAGTATAATTTTGATGTATATTCCAGACTTTTTGGTACGTCAATGAAGGTCAGACATCCAGGTAATAAGATAAGCCAAAAAATAGCCACTCAAGAACTGGACATGATTTGTTATAACAAGACTTTAAATTTGTCTGTTCCAGAACTTAAGCATGAGATAAAAATCTGGAGGCAGACGGCACAGAGAGTGACCCCAGCGAGTCGTGAGGAGAACACAGTGAAGGCTCTCCTCACACAGAAGGTCCTCACACTGGAAAATACACTCAAGAAGAAACTCTACAACCTCAATAGGTGAGAAGAATGGCAGTTTGATTTGTGCTTCGATTCTAGAAAAAGTACTAATATTTTTCCAATTACTCAGAGCATGTTTCAAAAATAAGGTACTTTATTCATTTCTGCACATATGATATATTTGAAGAAGAACAAAGCAGAGTGCAACTAATGCAATGATTGTTTTTCTTGTGACACTGCTGACTGTTAGAGTATATGATTATACTAAATTTGGTCACAAATGTTTTACAGGCAAAGGCCAGAAGATACAAACTGGCAGGCAAGCCTTGCTGAACTAGAGGGCAAGGTAAGAGTGGAAGACTCACCAACTTTTTATATAATCTTGTCAATAGTTTTATTATTACAGCGATTCACATATTTTGCACTGTACAAAAGGATTAAAGGTGACCAATAGGTTTTAGTCAATTTGGATCAATTGTTCTACATGTACTTGCCTAATGCTTATATAATGTGTCTGAAATGTTCTCCCACTTACAGTACAAGATTCAAGACAAGTGGCTCCTGATGAAGTCAGGATTGGTGATGATGGCTGTCATCCTTCTCTTCTTCCTTCACTCCTTTGTTCCCAGCCTGCATCTCAATCTAGGTAAGATGGCCATTTCTCTTACAGTCATCACTTTCCTCTTCTTTTGGTCTCAATGAGACTTAATAAGGAGTTGACAAAAATTGGTCAAAAACTTGGTAGAGCTTTAAAGTTTGTAATAGAAGCTGCCAGTCAACTCCTGTATTTAAAAAACTTCTTAAAAACTTTTTCCTACAAAATCCCAGTACATCCACAATCTGATTTGTTTGTTTTCCTTGTTATTGTTAATATTTTGTTTTAATCGTTAATTCTTATGTTAATTATTTAATCAGTTTAATCTGTAACATCTACCTGAATTACAGGTATAAGACTTTTGTTTAATTTCGTTTTAGTTAGTTTATACACCTCAGTTATTATTTCTGTGTCTTGATTTTGTTTAATTAATCATTGTTTAATTATTTCATTGTTTAATTTTGATGTTTAATTTAAATATGTTTTGTCATAAGTTATCTTTGCTTGGGGTAGGCCTCTAGAAAAACCACCCAGGTTTCTGGCCTACCCCGCACATTCTTTGATTATTATTATTTGATTGTGTAATTGTTTTTAATATACGTGCAAATGGTAAATAAAAAAAAAAAAATAAATAAATAAAGCTACATGAACATTTTCAACTGAAGAGATATGTTGTGTATAAAGTGCCTTTCTAAGGGTTCAACAAGGGCACAACATTGGGGGACTGCTAGGGATTCAAACCCAGAACCTTTAGACTCTAAGTCAACAACTCTAACTACAAGACCATCTTGCCACCTGTGTAGGTTGGATTGCCATGCTTGGTGCTATCTGGTTACTGGTTCTGGCTGACTACAAGGACCTGGAGATGATCATGCACAGAGTGGAATGGTCCACTCTCCTTTTCTTCGCTGCACTCTTTGTACTGATGGAGGTAATTTCAAACATTCTAAGCTAGTTACATGTAGCCTAATGGAACTTGAATTAGTTATCTTCAGTTGATAGTTTTAGTTTAGTTAGTTGATGCAGTTCACCATTGATATGCTAAATGCTGGTAGATACACTGGTAGCATGAAAGATTTATAAAAGATGGTACTGATATTCTCTAGAATCATATCTATTTGAATGTCTAATTTCAACTTTCATTTCGAATTTCAATCAGGCTCTGCATGAACTTGGCCTTCTAGACTGGATTGGACAGAGGACGGCTGAGCTTATTAAGGTAGAGAGTATTTCTTAACTTTGTGCATTACTATAATCAAGGGATTGTTCTCTTAGTTTTCTTCCAGTCACTCTGGTTTTCTTCCTTAGACTGACTTAGCGAGACTTGTCACACATGGGCTTCTTTGAAGAGTGACATCAACACTGGGTCAGAGAAGCCATGTGACAAGTCTCACTGGGTCAGTTTGTTGAAGAAGACCAGAGTGACAGGTCAAAAATCTGAGCCCTATACTGGGTTGCTGGTTTCAACATTTTCCATACTCCAAATATATTTTATCAAGTTAATCACACAGTAATGACTCTCTCTAGGGTGTACCCGATGACAACCAGCTGGCCGTGGCGATTATCCTGATCCTGTGGGTGTCGGCCGTGGCGTCTTCCTTCATCGACAACATCCCCTTCACCACCGCCATGATCCCCATCATCATCAGCCTGGCCGACGACCCCGGCCTCAACCTGCCGCTCCGACCGCTGGTCTGGTCCCTCGCCTTCGGAGCTTGTTTGGGAGGTACTGAACCTTGTTTACATCATAAAAAGTTGTGTTTTGTTTGAAGGTTCTCTCACTGCTTAGCCTTAGGTTATCATTACTCTGACCTTCCTAGCCAGAGGGGGAAATGGATGAAACTTGCAGTCACCTGTGCAGCAGCCAAATGATTATGATGGTGAAGAATTACTCTTTGTCATGCTCTAAGGTACGACAGAGTTACAGAGTTACAGAGAAGTCTCACATTTTATTTCCTAGGGAATGGCACGTTGATTGGTGCATCAGCCAATGTGGTGTGTGCAGGCCTTGCCGAGCAGAGAGGTTATGGCTTCTCCTTTGTGGAGTTTTTCAAGTAAGTCATTTTTCCTCAGTTGTCTTGGTTGTCAGCTCAGTTTGTCCTAATATAGCAGGTCCATTGTCATATCAAATCCATGATCTCTAACTCTAAGGCCCAACCATTTTTGTTTCTTGCATTTTCTAATACCCACTAGCTTTCTAGGAGACCCATACATGTAGATATTATTAAATACTTTGTGGGTATCCTAGCAAATAGGATTTTGTTAAACTTGTTTTTTTTTCTCTTGTAGGATTGGTTTTCCCATGATGGTTGTGACAACGCTGGTGGCCATGATCTACCTCCTGATCTGCCACGGCGTGATCGGCTGGGACGTCCCGACAAACAGCACACCGCCGCTGTTCTCACAGTCTGTGGTGTAGGACAGTACAGCACTACCATTGTTCACCATGTATGTACACTATAGGATAGCACAGCTAAAGTAGTACTGTGACAGTACTCCTGTTCAGTCTGTTACAGTCTTCTACAGATCAGCCATATGCCTTTCTAAGAACTGTGTCCTACCTACATGCCTCATTGCCTGACCAAATCATAATTCTACATTCAACACTGTCATTGTTGACCACTCAAGCTGCTATTGAAATTCAGGTTTGATGTTGAAGGGACCAAGTTCAACACTCAGGATGGCCAAAAGTCACTGTATTGCCTTTTGAGAAAAAAGTGGAAGGAATCTAGCTGTTCATCAAAAGGACTAAATGTCAATGTTCTAAAATGTCTTACCAGTATAGTAGCTGGTACTGTAATATATTTGTGAATATGATTTTGTAATTTTCTGATCACTATTTTTATTTTGTCACTTTGTACTTTTATCTTCCAACAAATACATGACTGTCTTGGTACCAAAGAGAAAGTGAGGAATACTGTAAGCTATAATATTGACCATATCATCATCCATCATTGTATCTCTGTTATTTTGACCAAGACACTCATAATCAAGAGAGTTATCTTAAGGAAGAGCTGAAATCATAATTTTTTACCATTTTCGCATGCGCGAAAATGGTAACTCAGACGAGATTGAGATTGGATGGATGGATGGATCAACGGTTCCACCCTTCAACGGCCATGCAGACATGCTAAGTCACCGCATGTCGCTAGATGTCGTTGTTGCGACGGCCATGCAGACATGCTGAGTTGCCGCATGTCGCTAGATGTCGTTGTTGCGAGTGCACTTTTTACCATTTATGCCTTGGACGTTTGTATACTTTCCATTATGGTTGCTAATTTCAAAATCATAGTTCTATTAATGTTGCATAACAAAGCTGCTGACAAAACAAACTTAATTTGTCTTGAACAATAACTTGATTTTATTATTTGCCAAAAATGTTGATAAAGACATGT